CTGGTAGATAACCCTTGACCTTAGAGGGCGTACCAGGGAACTCAGCGAGGAGGTCTATTGTTTGCAGACCTGCTCTGTGGATGTCTACGCTTGAACAGTCTTCAATCTGCATAGTTCACTGCCAGACTTCCGGGACGTAGCTCTTGATGCATGGTGATCAAAGCTTAGGGTTGTGGCAACATGTAAAGTTGAAGTGGTGGTCTTCGCATCTGAGGATAGGATCTTAAGCCAAGGTCGAAGGCGTGGCATGTAGCTTCTGTCTTGGATGGAAGTTCTGTGCAAAGGCTAGTTTTTTTAACAATTTGCCCAGGGCCACACTGCTTGGACTCCGCTTTATGCCAACTTTATGTGTACGTAGTCAAAAGGCAAAGCTCGCGCGAAGCACGCAGACATGTGCGCAAGGCCACCGCAAAACAGACTCCATAAGGCTGAACCCAAAGCCAAGACCCCGAACGCTTTAGACCTCAAGCCGTGCGCCCCAAAGCCCAAGAAACCAGAACACCCACATGAGTCCTCAGCCTTTGACAAAAAGCCTAAGCCCTCAGGCCCTCACGCCTTATAAAAGCTCATGGTACCCGTAGAGAATCCTTAAACAGTAGAGGCTCCCTTGGCGATCCCTAAGAACCCTAAGAACCCTAAACCCGAAATCTTAAACCCTAAACTCTAAACCCTAAATCTTACACCCTAAACCCTAAACCCTAAATCTTAAACCCTAAACCCTAAACCCTATATCTTAAACCCTAAACTCTTAACCCTAGGCCCCTTAGCGACACCGAGGATCTCAGCTCCCCGATCTATGCCACAGAGACGTTCCGGGACTCCCGCCACCCGGCTTTTGTGGAGCTTTGGGGCTCTGAGGGCCCTGTAGACGTTCGGAGGTTTTGGGTCGAAAGGGCTTGAGATGGCGTTTCGGTGAATTTAGGATCTTTTGCATTTCAGGGGTCTGAAAGCACCACGAGCTCCAGTTGGGGTGCACACCTTCGTGTGATAAATGCGACCGTGCCAGGCGAGTCGCAGGCCCGCGCAAATGCAGCGAAGGAGGCCCAGCTACTCTCGGAGCAATTCGAGCGAAACTGGGCGAGATGGCAGGCTTGATGGTTTTAGGCTTAAGGGTTTCGGGTTTTATGCTTAGTGTCTAAAGCTTTTCCAAACAGAACATGCAAGCTTTGGGCAGCAGCGAACTTAGAATATCAAGCAGTGGAAGCTGTTTGGGACTGGGATGCAGTCTTTACGTGACCCTAAGCCCTGAACCCTGTCGCAGTGACTTGGACTCTTTGACCAGCTGTTCCCATCGCTGCTTCGTGGGTAGCAACTCCGGTTCACATAGGAGTATCAGATCCCAGACCCCAAACCCTAAACCACGACCCCAAGCCCCAAACCCTGCCCCCTAACCCGACACCCTGAACCCCCAAGCTCTCATTCGTGTTCTTTGTAACACAGAGCAGCCTTGCCGACCAAGGATGTTCGCAGCACGGCTGCAACTGGATAGGATCCCACGAGGAGGTATCCTAGAGGGATCACGGTTTGGAAGAAGCAGAGTACGGGGAACCCAGTGAAGCATAAGCAGAGGCAGCAAAGCAATCCTCGTGTTTGCTAAGGCCTCGTCTGTAGAAGTAGCACTGAAATCTAGTGATTCTGCGAGTTCGTTTTCATCCGGCGGGCCTGGACTGCTAGGGTTGGTAGGGAGCATCCTGTCGAAAACTCCCGCACCTAAGCCCGCAACCCATTTCAACTCCCTAACCCTCAACCCCTAGACCCTAAACGCCCTAAGCCCTCTAAACCCTAAACCCTAGACCCTAAACCCATAAACCCGAAAACCCAATCCCGAGCCTTAAATCACCATCGCCCCAAACCTCAGGGCGAGTTGCAAAGGAGGAGCCACTAAAAGGAACCTTCGAAGGAACCCGAACAGGCACCCTTTCGAAGGAACCCTAAACCCGAATGGGAGGCCTTTCCCTTAATAAGGATCCCTTGTAGATCCCGTAAAGGCGCCGAATCCTTTGAGGCTAAACCAGCAAACCCAACAAACGCCTAAACCCCTAACCCTAAACCCCAAACCCGAAACGGAACCCTTTGAAGGAACCCTTAACCCTAAACCCCAAACCCTAAACCCCAAACCCCAAACCCTAAACCCTAAACCCTAAACCTTAACTGAGCCCCGACAAGTGCGAGGCCCTTGGCGCGGCTTACAGCCACAGCCGGCCTGCGCCTGCAAAAGTTCACCAAAAACGTTTGGGTGGCGAGATTCGGAGCACATCGTTGGGGTGTAGGGTGTAGGGTTGAGGGGAGTCTGGGGTTTAGGGTTTAGGATGTAGGGATTGGGCAGAATTTAGTGAGTAAGGTTTTTGGCTTGGCGCTCAGTGTTTAGGGTACAGGGTTTAGGGAGTGGAGAGTTTGGGAGGGATAAAAGAGAAGCAGTACAGCTCCGAAGCAGCTTTAGGCCGCTAAAGTTGGCCCCTTCTCCAGGCTCTGACCACTTAAAGCGCTTCCTTCTTCGGATTCAATGCACCAAAGCCCAAAAGCCTAAACCCTAAAGCCCTAAGCCCTGACCCTAAACCCTAAAGCCTGAAACCCCAAAGCCCTAAACCCCGAACCCTGAAGCCCCTAAGCCCCAAACCCCTCTACCCCGAAACGCAAGGTCGCGATGAATCCCTGTGTTCCCAAACTTGAGGTTGTAAAATGGGGGTCGGAACAATTAGGAACTACTCCCGGTTATAGGGTTTAGGGTTTAGGATAATATAGATGAAGCATAGTTTTCCTATGAAAGAAATTACTAAACCTCCTCCAATAAATTGACTTCCCCCTTTGGTTTCAGGGCTCTGATAATGCTTGGAGGGATTTAAAGGCCGTGGGCGCAGGTTCCTGGGTGTGGTAATTCAGAAGACCCCTCCAACTCTAGACCCGAGAAGCCCTACCCATAGGCCCCTAAGTATTTAGAATCCTAAAAGGTAGTCCCAAAAAGGAACTACTTAGGGGCCTATGGGTAAACTCTTCAGTAAACTATATATAGAAACCATAATAAGGAACACCAAAAAGGTAGGTCTTTTCGGTTACAGGTAAGCCCGAAACTCCTAATTAAGCTCCTTACACTTCCAGGAGCCGGATCCGCTTTGGCTCTGGGTGCTGCTGCAGCGCCCTCCGCGCACCGGGGATGCGCATCAGGTGGTTTTTCGAGTTCTTCCGCTTTCCTTCAGGGCACTATAGAACCCTAAACCTGAACCCTCAACCCTAAATCCTAAACCGTGTACCCTAAACCTTAAGCCCGAAGCCTCTGAAGAGTAGGATTCCTGGCTCGGAGTGTAGTCGGCGTTCAGTAGCAGGGCATCGTGGGTTCTGTCATCAGAAGCTGTCGGAAGGGACCTTGGCTCCGCAACCCCAAACCCCTAAACCCTAAAGCCGTTCGTATAATGAGTATCACAATTATAATAGTATTATACTAGTATTTTAATTAGAATAGCATTATAATTACTTATAATAGTCATATTCTGGAGGCGAGGAGTGTTTTCGGGTTCCGGGTTTGAGGGTTTCACGGTTCAAGCTTTGGGCTTGAATGGAAACACCGACACAAGCCTCCACTTATGTGGTGCAAAACGCGGACAGCAGCGACATAGTGCAATACTGCAATTCTGAAGCCTACCAATACAACATGCCCCACACTTCGCTGATTGATACCCACATATAGTACTGTTGAAGCATAGCGCTGGGTTGAAGTCGATTAAAAGGTGAGCGTAAGAAGAGAAGATGAGAACACATTGTCAAAGTAACCTGAACGTCAGACAGCCACACAACGCTAAGGTGTAAGATGTATCGGTTGAATATTACAGCAGAATGCTGCAAAGTTGCGGATACACAGCTGCACTCTAATAAACAGCCGTACAATGTTATCCAGCAGCAGTATACCAGCAAAGGAAACTGCTAAGACTCGCCACGTATACAACGCTGGGTCATTGTTATTTGGAACTCCATGACAACAAAACACTTCAAACAGGAAGTGGTAGAAGAATGTAGGTGTATACCGTCCCTTCTGGTGGCATAACGATTATTTTGGTAGTGCAGAAGGAGCAGGAGTGGTAGGAGCAGAAGGAGTAGCAAACAAGTGCAGGCAGGGCTAATATGGAGGGGCAGGCTGAGTATTGATGGGAGGAGGAGGAGGTTGCAAGCTCAGCCGCTTCAGCGAGCAGCAGATCGACCTCCGCAGTAATACCAAGCAAAGACTGCCATCTGATTTCGCCGGATGCCTTAAGCAACACGCCTAAGCACCATTCCGCAAGACACCTCTGCCCTAAGCCAGAAACCTTGCACGGGCTTAAACCCAACCCCCCTAAACCCCGAAACCCTCAACCCTAAAATCCCAAGACCCCTCTCTGAGGTGTGTCCTGGGCCTCGGGCTCCCCCTGGCCTCTCTTCTAGGCCTGACAGAGAATCACTGGGCTGATAGCTGTTGTTAGGCTTCAGGGTTCAGACTGTAGGGCCTACTGTAGGGTTTAACAGGGTCTACGATTTGAGGTGTAGGGTTTTAGGGTGCTTTTTTCATTTTTGCTGATGACTTTTTTAAATAGCGGCAGGTGCCGTGGCTAGTAGGTTGGAGCTGCAGATTTGGCATTGAGCATCCGAGAATGGAGGTTGGGCTTGAGGCATGTAGACATAAATAATATACTTACATGTATGTAGAAAGCTATGTTTGTAGTCTTACATAGTCTTACTGTTTCAAGAGCGGGTCAGTATTGTAGCATATTCCGGGCAACCAGCTCTCAGTTTACTGAATCCGAAGCTCTTTCTCCTTTCCTTCCTCCCTGTCTGTTGAGATGTTGCGGCGAGAAATGGCTTGAAGAGTCATGGGACGAAGGGGTGGGTGCGCTTGCGCCTAGGCTGATGCCTTCTTATGGGCTCGGTCTCCTTGACTTCGTGTTCTTTGGGGTGTCCTGGATCAATATTCCGAAGATGGGATTGTGAACCCTAGGCCCTATACCCTAAACCCCTTGACTCTTAACCGAAGCCAGGTTACTTCGGTATCTGCCTGGGCACCAGCAGCTACCTGCGCCAACCCCTCGCACCTCCAGCGGTGCGTGAGCAAGGCTTGGCCGCAGCTCGTCTCACAGGAACCCTAATAAACCTCTAACCCCTAAATCCTAAACCCGAAACCCGAAATCCTAAACCCTAAACCCTAAACCCCCAAAGCCTTGTCCGGGAGCTTGAAGTGGAAAGTTCTGGGCTGAAACGAATTAGTCAAAGCCGCCAAGCCCTAAGTTTAACCCCTCAAGACCCTCAGTCTTACACCCTTAAAACCCTTATAGAATATGGTTGAGTCTCATGTAATGTGCTATGGTTCTGTTATGGTGCACGAGAACATTCTATATTACAGCATGCTCCTATCATATCATAGTATGTAAGGCGCTGCCTTGAAGCCTTCAGTCCATCGGCCTTGCAAGCCCTAAGCCCTAGACCTGAACCCCCGGGGCTTAGGTCGCTCCTGGCGGCTACCGCTGCAACAGACCCAAGCCTCCAGGCCCTGAACCTTACACCCTTGGCCCCAGCCCTACATGATTCGCCTAGAGGCTTAAACCCTGAATCCCAAATCCAAAGCCTTCGAACCCTGAAGCTTACAACCCTGAGCCCTCAAACATCTTAAACCCCACATCGAAAACCCTAAACCCCCTGAACCTGTGCTTTCCAGGCCTCCTGATTGCATTGCCTCAAGTGTCCTAAATGTTGGAATTGTGGCTTGGATAATGCAGGATTCCGTCCATCAACAGAGTGTGATACAAAACGAGATTTCCTTGCAATGTGTCTCTGCAGAATCCCTAAACCCTAAACCCTTGTTGGAGAAGGAACACGGACTGCACAAATCTATTTTGGGCTTAGGGTGCAGGTTGTAGGGTTTAGCCAGCCTCGAACAAAAAGTAGGACTTCGCAGTGTAGTAGAAGCACGCGTCAGAAGGGTTGGTTTCGCAGGAACACTGCCCATAGATGCTCCCTAAACCCAAAACCCTAAATCCCAAACCGCAAACCGCTCCCAGATTGGGGTTGTAGGGCCCCACATCCTCCACATGTCCGTCAGAAAGGTCACTGCTGGATCCTACAACCCGCCACACAATGGACATCTCGCCACTTCGCGTGAATCTCAACCGCTAAACCCTAAACCCTTGCTCTTGCCCTACACTCTAAACCCTAAACCCTTGCTCTTGTGGATTTTGGGGATATTTTGGGAGCCGGGCGGCAGACAGAAGTCGTGCTTCTGCCACGTGGGTGTTTTTTCTGTGGAGAGTCTCTGCTGCTGTCTTTTTCCCGTCTTTCTGTTTCGGTCACTCTCCCTGTCTGTTTCTCTCGTTTTGCCTCCCCCCCTCTCTCTCTCTCTCTGCTGAGGGTAGGGGTGTCGGGAATTCGAGAGAAGCCGGACTCCCGGAGCCGAGGAAGTGGTAAGATACCTCTCAGCGCCTTGGCTTCCATCGGTCTGGTCTCGGATCTCGAAGCTCAATGTATTATGGTACTTGTATATTATATGATATATTATCGTGTATTGTAGTATACGGTTGTATATTATTAAGAGTATTTATAGTATCTTGAAGTACAGTATATTCTATTCTATTTGTTGTCTGGTAGTTGTCTATCAATGCCTGCTGCCAGCCTAGCCCATAAAGCAAGTTGCGGTTGCGGGCCGGGACATCCTTGCACGGAGTTGGATTCAGGACCTGCACCACCACCCTTGCATGCTGCCCAGGGTTTCTGTGCTCCTTAGTGCTGTCATCCCAATCTTAAAGCTGAACTCGCTGCATCGAGCCAGAACTGCACAGATGACCCTCAACACGGAAGAAGCCACTTCCCTTGGGGTTAGAATTCGGTTTCGGGTAGAGTTGGCAATTGTCACACTCATGATACTAGGCACAGTTTCTCAGAACACCGGAATCGCCGACCTGCTAAGTTGATAGCCAAGGCGAGGTATGAGCGGGTGCACATGGTCATTGGGGTAAACCCGCAGCTCAGCTATCTTTTCAGCTGATGAGTTGAGTTCGTGATAGTTTTATATCACGGGTGCCAAATTTTTCATACATTTTAAATCATAGTAGCAATCACAAAACATAACAGTCATGGTGAAAGACATATGTTCTGCCTGCCGGAGCATTCATGTAAGACTGATTGTCTCCGTGAAGCAGCACGGCTACTGGTAGAGCTCTGCGTGAAGCAATGTAGAAACTCGGATTGGGGACTTCGATAAGATCAAAAGCGGGAGTTTTGAGTAATTGAACGGAAGTTCATCAGCAAAAATGATCGCCGTGGTTGCTTTCTTCATGTATTGCTGTGCAGCCTTCTTGAGCGCCACAGTTGGCTCCCACATTCCTGAACTGAAGCCAGGCCGCCCCCACACCCTGCACGTGAAACCCTGCAAACGACACCCGGAAGCCCCCGAGCCGTAAGCCCTTTAGCACCCCTAGTGCGTAACCTCGAAAGCCCATAAGTCCCAAGGCCCAATACTCTCAGAGGCTGAACCCCAAGTCCTAGCAACCTCAGACCCGCAATCCCTACATTGTAGGACCTAAGCCTCTGTTTCGCACCTAGACTAGACCCGTAAATCCCAAGGTTCCCCAGCCCCAAGTAGACCAGTGCCCTTCCAGGCCCATAACCTCAAGGGGTTCAGTCCTAACCCTAAGCCCTAAACCCCAAAAACCCAAAAAAACCCTAACACAAGACCCTGAACCCTACATCCTCACACCCCCCCCCCCCNNTAAACCCTAGACCCTAAATCCTATATATCCTTAAAACCAAAACCCAAAGCCCTCAACTCTACGGCCTAATCCCTCACACCCGAACCTTGAAACCCGAGACCCTAGCGCCTAAATCCTTAAGCCCTGAATCGTGGGGTCCCCAGGACCCTAATTCCTAAATCCTTGGTATCTTGAGCTGAATACCACAGATCCTATGTAATCCTGAACCCTGAACCCTAAGACCTAGCTTAAACAAGTTTTTCCATCATATCCCCCGAAGGTCCACTCTACTTAGAAAGGCCCCTTAGAAGTAATCATTATAGTGACCGTTATAGAACGCTTTGCGGAGGCCTGTAAAGAAACCCGAGAGAAGCCCCAGTCGAACTGTTCAGGCCGTAGTAGCCCTTAAAGAACCATCGAGGAACCCTAAAAAGGGACCCTTTTCCAATTATTTAGGCTCCGTTACTAAAGCCCTGAAGTAATCCCTATAGTGACCCTCCAAAGGAGCCGTTTGCAAGGAACCCTCGTATCATGAAGGCCCCAATGTTAAATTCCCATGTGAGCCCTAAACCCGAAACCCCTAAGCCCCTAAATCCTAAAACCCCAAACCCGAAACCCCTAAGCCCCCAAACCCCTAAGCCCCTAAACCCTAAAATCCCAAAAGCCCTAAAGCCTAAAAACCCACGAAAACCCTAAACCTCTAAGCCCCTAAACCCTAAAACCCCCAAAAATCCTAAAGCCCGGTCTAAGGTCCAAGACCTATGCCGTGAGCCCGTACGTCCGACAGGAGCTTCTTCGGGCCCCCTCGGCTGTGAACGTGCCCTAAGGGCTTTCGGGGGCCTGGAAAGGGGCGGGGGCTTTCGGGGGCTTTCTTGGGTTTGGGAGTTTAGGGTGTGGGGGGTTTAGGGTTTAGGGGGTTAGGAGTTTGGGGTTTAGGCTCAGGGTTCATAGGGGTTCAGGGTTCAGGGCTTGGGTTGCGGGTTTGGAGGTTTAGGTGCTGAGGGCTTTCAGGGGGTGTCTTGGGAATGCCAGGGGTCACAAGGTTTCTTGGGGGGTTTAGGTGCTTTTTGGGGGCTTCAGGGTTTTCGCCTTTTTTTGTTGCGTTTCCGGTTCGGGGTTCTAGGGGGTTTAAGCTTCTCGTTTCCGAGCTTGGTGTGTCTATTCAATGCAGGGCTTCGGGGGTCAAGGATTTTCGGCTTTGTTCGGAGAATCTAACAGGAGCCCAAACAGGCACCTAAACATAAGCTTGAAAGGTATTATCCCCGGAAGGGGGTGGGTTTCAATGGTTTACGTTTCTTAGAGCCTGCATAATTACCGCCACTCTATTCCCTGGAGTTCCTTCATATCTTTTATACCACAAAGTACCCCAAAACCCTGTTCCAAGCATAAAGGCCCCTTCGTGGGTAGTTCTAAATTTTAGGGTCTCTTTAAGGATCCTTTGTGTGTAAGGGTGCCGTACTCTTTTGGGGGCCTGGACAGGGACCCTAATTCAGAGAACCTGCCAAATTCGGTGCTTCTAACTGAAGGCATCAGCTGGGAAGATCCCAACTCTAAGCGACGAGCGGCAGGCAATGCTCAAAGAGCTGGGCCTGACGAATGTGGAAGTCTTCATTGTGTGCCTCGGCCAGAAGCCTGGTGATGAGCGGGGGCGTTTTGCGGTCGCAGGATCTAGAAGTTTGCCCATCCAACTGAGACCCGAAGGTTGCACACCGTCCCAAAACGCCTGAAACTCGCAACCGAGAGCCTGCGAAGCTCTTGGAGTCCGGATCCGGAGGGTCCCCGAGTGCCTCGTCCTGCTTGCTCTTACAGTTTAGGACCCTGGACACTGCTGAATACCCTAAACTAGCCCCTAACCACATCACCCTCATGTCCAAGCCTTTTGGGGTTTAGGCTATGGGGTTTAGGGTCTGGGCCTTTGAACCGAAACAGCCAGGATTTCGAGGTTGCCCTGCGGCTGGTTTAGCGGCAATAGCAGCGCTCACTCAGGGTTTAGGGGCCCTAGGCCCCAAGCCCTAAAGCTTACTTGTTACAACTAGTGAGGAGCACAAGCCGGGTTCGAGCGTGGGGATGAAGTCTGAAGAGTGCTAAAGGATCTTTCCGCGTTGCGGACACGGGGCCACCTTGGAAGAAGGCAAGGTACTACGCATTTCTGCTTGCATGGGAGAGTCTATGATACAGGTATATATACACATATAACACAATATATATATATATGTATGTATATACACATACATATATGTTATATATATATATATGCATACATACATACGTACATACATACATACATACATACATACATACACATACCAATACACATACATGTTTATAGTCACACACACACACATACGTAAGGGCTCCTTTACGGGTTTCTTTAAAGGCCCTAGACCCCCAAGCCCCAAAGTCGTTAAATCCCGAGCCCCTAAACCAGAATGCCGCCGAGATATAGCTATCTCTGGAAGCATGCGCAGAAGCACGGTGCCAAAGTCATGTACCGTGGAATACGCAGCTTGCAGAAGGACCTGCATCTGGGCCTTACAAATACCCCTTGCAGTGCCCCTCTGTGCCGTATGGTACCGCCCATCACCACCCCTGTCAGTGCCATCATCATCTTCACTCGGGTCCTCTGCCTCTTCGTCCTCTCCGTCATCGTCCACAGCCCCCTGTTCCTCCTGCTCCTCCTCCCGCACCTCCTCTTCTCCTCCTCCTGCTTCTCCTCCTCCTCCTCCTTCTCCTCGTCCTCCTCAGTTGCTGCCATCGCCATCCTTGGCATCACTTTAAAGTCTGGACTACCCCGCATTTCCGGCATCGAGATAGAAGCCGCCCTCCAAAGAGGGCGATCCCCGAGCCTCAAGCAGAATCCTGGTCTCAGAAGCGCATCGTCTCTCCCAAAATTTGTCACTTTGGAGTCTTGATCGTATCGTATTCCTTAGGGCCTTCCTCACCCTAAACCTTAAAACCTAAACCCTAAACCCGAGGCCGTAGGGTTCCTTACGTTCATTGAGAAAAGCAAGAACAACACTAGAAGAAGTGAAACAAGCTACACTTTCGCGAGGACGGCCTGGACGAGAAGAAGCTGGAGTTTCTGCTCTATGGCTGAGCTTAGGATTTAGGGTTTGGGGGCTTTGGGGTTGGGGACTTCAGGGTTTTAGGTTTTAGGGTTTTCGGGTTTATCATTTAGGGTTTGGGGTTTAGGGTTTTTGGGTTTATGACGTAGGGTTCAGGGTTTAGTGTATATGTTGCAGGGTTTGGAGGTCGGATGTGTACTAGCTATTGTATCGTAGTCTTCTGTGGTGCATGCCTGTGTACAGCATGTCTAACGGAGAGGTGCATGTGACGGTGCATTGAGGTAAGATTGCGTGTCCGTGGTTATGAACAAAGTTGCTGAAAGTAGGCATGTTAAGTGGACGCAAGGTGGAGTATCCTAAAGCTTATTGGCGGCCTCTGTAATATTCACATCGCGAGGTTTGGTTGCCGATCAAGCCTCAAAGCCACGGCTCGAAATCGTTCAAGGAAGCAGCCCAAATCAGCAACAATCGTAAAGTACAATGTGAATCACTGTCTGTTTCTCTGAGCTTTGAAGCCTTGCAGAGGCACGGACAGATGCCCCGACCTCGGACCTAGAGACGCATGCGTCGGTTGCAGCGTTCGCAGCATCCCACGGTGTGCCTGTGGAGTCTTCAGATATCCGCAATGCTTACTTCCAAGCAGAACCTCTAGATCGTGATGTACTTCTGAGACAACCACGCGGAGAACTACCTGACGCAGATCCGGAAGCAATGCTGTTGATCTTATGGATGGACTCTGCGATAGCGGAAGAGACTTCTTGCTAAAAGTCGACAAAGAGGCAAAATCTGCGGGCTTTCAGGCCAGCAGGATCTTCCCCGCGTTCTACTTTTTCCGAGAGAACGAAGAGTCGTGTGGGTTCTCGCCACACACGTGGATGACTTTGTATCGGCATTCATCAAAGGAGGTGGCAAGATCATCGACAAACTACTTACGAAGTTCGAAGCAAGACGTCGAGAGCAAGGCCGACTTAGGTTTTGCGGCAAGCAAGTCGACAAAAGCGGAAATGACGTACTTTTTGATGTCACAGATAACGGCAATAAGAAAACATACATAGTCGTTGAAGGCGAGCCGGAAGCACTCGGATCTTGTAGCCAGAGGAGGGGAACGACATCTGCGATCCGCTGTAAGCAGTCTCTCGTGGATATCTAGGCAAGCAGGCCAGATATACTGTACCGTGTACCGAAGCTTCAGAGCCCGATAAAGGGAGCTACCATAGCTACTTTGCACAAAGCAAACAAGGTGTTGGAGTTAGCACGTAAGGGTAGGACTTTAAGCTAACGTACCGGAATGGACCGTTTGACTTTGAGAAGTTAGGCGTGCTAACCGCATCCGATGCGAGTTTCACTGGAGAATCTAATGATAGATCCCAGCACGGAAGGACTCGTTTCTTAGCTCGTGCCGCGCGGTTATGTGGTCCAGCTTGTGACACATACGACGCAATGGTTGTATCATTTTCGAGCACAGCCATCAAAAGAGTATGCCGTGCAGGCAGAAACGTTCGTGCTACAGAACAGGCAGGAAGCTGGAGACAGAATTCGAGCTGTGCCAGCCGAAATCTACGGATTCGGATCCCAAGGGACGGAATGGGAGACTCTTGCAAGAAACAAGGTACCCCACGTCAGCCTCACAGATTGTAGAAGCTTAGCCGACCATGTGAATTCCGACGCGTCCGCGCGGGTTCAAGATAAGGGACTACAAATCGAGCGAAGCGCCTCACGCCAATTTTCACAGAAGTTGGCAATTGCACTTGTGAGGTCTACCCCGGCGCAGGAGACCGTGTGGACTGGATCGACACGGTTACGCAGGCGCTGACTCTTTCACGACGTCAATGAAACCGGGCTTTTATCATCCGACTGATTGAGTCTGGTGTGTACAAAGTCAGTACGGCTGACTTGTAGTATCGCAGACACTGAATGAGACGACCATATGCCCTACGTACGGATCGCACAGGATGATACTTTTAATTCGGCGCATCGTACCACTTGATTTGTGGTTGAGTAGTACAAGAATGTGTAGCTTGTACAGAATTTCCTACGTTTAAAACAAAACAACAGGTGGAATGTGACTCACTGTCTGTTTCTCTGTGCTTTGAAGCTTTGGTCTTGAGCATAACTTGTACATTCGCCGCCATTTAGGGCCCTTGACACTAGCTATCGCAGCTGCTTGGGAAAAGACCGCCAACTTCAAAAGCAACAGTCATGCCCGATCCCATCATCTTGCTGGATGAAAGTTGTAGGGTTTCTGCATGACTATAATTGCATTGTAGTTCTGTCCGTTCGGAGTACAACAAAAGTACAACTTGTTCAGATTATGATTGCATTACAGCTCTAGTTGAAGTCCAAGGATTTGCCCCTAAAGCATAAAGTCTAAACCCTAAAGCCTAAACCCTGAACCCTACTAAACGCCCTAAACCGCTAGATCCCGAAACCCTAAACCTTAAACTTAAACCCTAAATCCTAAGCCCTAAGCGTTGGGTTTTCGAAGAGCTTTACGAATTGCAATAGGTTTTGCGGTTCTATTATAGTACAGTTTATGTCAGAGACTATCAGGGGCTACTATTGACTATTGCTAATTATTTCGACCCTTATCTTGAAAGGAACTTGGCGGGCCAGCTCATTATCGCCGGCCGACGTCCGATCCCAACGGCTTACATCCAGGCAGATCCAAGGCAGGGTTCAGGGTTCAGGGTTGAGGGCTTAGGGCTCAGTGTTGAGAGTTTTGGGGGGTTTAGGGTTTTGGGGTTTAGGGTTGAGGGCTTGGGAGCTTGTGGTTTGGGGTTACACTTCTAATTCCAACTCTGCTTGTTGATCGTGGCAAAGTTTGTGATGTTGGTGACGGTGATGACGACGTGCTTGCTAACCAACTCATTCTAGCACACCAATCTGGTATAGTTTGGAGGGTTTACTACAGTTCCGGCTTTGGGGTGTAGTTTAGAGTTTAGGCATTTTTTTCACTAAACTTTCTAAAGCACAGGCGCTGAAATGCGGCTCCCGCAACTGTCCGAAGGAAACGGAGACCCCAGACTTTAGATCCTTAGCCGAAGGCCTGAAACCTGACTTCACAGAGCTTTGTGGGCAGGTTTCTACATATCTCTTCGACCTTGCTGCGAAAGCGGCTGCAAGATCGCGAGACGATTGCCGACCTTGTGCCCAAGATATGCAGCCCTAAACCCCTAAACCCTGGACCCTGAAGTCTTCTAGGATGTAGCGTTGTCGTGATTGGCTATGCGGATGTGGAGAATCGGTTCGGATAGCCCCGAAAGAGGTAACCAGGAGCTAATCTTGAAGTCTCCAACAGAGTGGCTCGGACTCCAGGGGATGGTGCCCTCTAAACCTTAAACCCTAAGCCCTAAACCCTGAACCCTCAACCGCCCCCGAGGGCGCCCAATCCGAAACCATCGGCTCAGTGGCCCAGGTGCCTCCTGGCTCTGCATCTCTGGTCCAAGAAGCCTACGGATAGAGGGCACCCAGGTCGAGTGCCGCGGCAGCTCGTGTAAAGTCTACTTCGGAGATTTCGGGCCAAGAAAAGCGAAATGCCTCATCATGATGATGCTCATTTCTACTTTGGTGCTTTCTATCACAAGGACCATATATTTATGTAATCAATGCAATAGAATCAAACGTAAGAAAACATAGCATAATAATTTGGAGTAAAATATGATATAAGCTGATTAAGATAATGTAACAAATGCAATATGTCATACAATATGCTAATATTTTAACTTTATATAAAATTGTTGGCATTGTTCGGTTCGTTGTCCTGGACAGCATTCCACAGGGCTCCTTATTCCTATTGCAATTACTTCTATCTATCCATCTATCTGTCTATCTATCTATGAACCTATCAAACTATACACCTACCTACTTGTACATACATCTATAAACCTATATATATAAAAAAAAGATATAGATATAGATATAGATATAGATATAGATATAGATTATAGATTATAGATTATAGATTATAGATTATAGATTATAGATTATAGATATAGATATAGATATAGATATAGATATAGATATAGATATAGATATAGATATAGATATAGATATAGATATAGATATACATACATGCATACATTCATACATACATGCCTACTTTCTTACTTGCTTGCTTAGTTAGTTAATTAGTTAGTTGGTTGGTTGGTTGGTTGGTTCGCTCGTTCGTTCGTTCGTTCGTTAGTTAGTTAGTTAGTTAGTTAGTTAGTTAGTTAGTTAGTAGTTAATTAGTTAGTTAGCTATTTACCTTACCTTACCTTACCTTACCTTACCTTACCTTACCTTACCTTACCTTACTTTACTTTACTTTACTTTACTTTACTTACATACTTACTTACTTACTTACTTACTTACTTACATGCATACATACATATATACATATTCACATGTGTATT